GGAAGGCGGAAGGAAGGAAGGAAGGAAGGAAGGAGGAAGGAGTGAAGAGAAGAGAAGGAAGGAAAGCGGAAGGAAGGAAGGGAAGGAAGGAAGGAAAGGAGGAGGAAGAGAGTTGAGGTGGAGTGAAGGTAGAAGGAAAGGAATATCTGGCAAAGTTGAGAGGAGTTAGTAAAAGAGTTAACAGAAAGAAGGAAAAGCGCAGAGAGCGGCTCACAGGATTCTGAAAAAAAAAAAAGTAGTTAACTTTTTTTTTTTTTTTACAAGATAGGGTCTCACTCTGTTACCCAGACTGGAGTGCAGTGGCAGGATCACAGCTCACTGCAGTCTTGACCTTCCAGGCTCAAGTAATTCTCCCACCCCAGCCCCTGAGTAGCTGGGACTACAGGCATGTGCAACCATGTCTGGCTAGTTTTTTGTGTTTTTTGTAGAGACAGGATTTTGACATGTGTCTCAGGCTGCTCTCAAAGTCCTGAACTCAAGCAATGCTCCCACCTCGGCCTCCCAAAGTGCTGAGATTAGAGTCGTGAGCCACCGCGCCCAGACTTTTTTTCTTTTTTTTTTGAGCTAACAATTTTTCAAGTACCTACTATATGCCAGGCAACAAGCTAAATCTTTTGCATGCTTTGTGTAATTTAAAATCTCTACAACTAGTCAGTCATGGTGGGTGTGCCTCTAGTCCTACTTACTCAGGAGACTGAGGCAGGGGGGATCACTTGAGCCCAGGAAGTCTCAAGGCTGCAGTGAGTCGTGATCGCACCACTGCACTCCAGCCTGGGTGGGACGGAAAAAGACCGTGTCTCAAAAAACTCTAAATCATAGTGTTTACCTGCTCAATTTATAGATGAAGAAAACAAGGTCAAAAGGATTCAATGAGTTCTACAAATTCTCATAGTTTGTAATGGCAGCGGTAGAATTCTAACCCACATCACCTGACCCCCAAACTAACTTTGGCCACACTTCACACTGCAGAGACTATGAGTGAGCTACATTTCCCCCAAATTGTTCCAAGTAACTGTTGAATGCCTTGCATTATTTACACCCATCCTTATTATTCCTTATTAGTTCAGTGATGGATCTCATTCTCACCCATGATTACTTTAAGTATGTCAGTATTAAAATAACTTCTCTCCTTTCACTAACCCTTCACCTCTCTTGGTCATCTGTGTCTAACTAACCTGACAACTGGGTTTTAACCTCTATAGCAGAGAGTCTTTCAGGGAGAGATTCAATAAATGTATTTTTATGAAAGCTTGGCAGATACTTAACTGGGCTCACAAGTATTTCATAGTTGAAGAAAGTGGTTCATTGACAAATAGTAGCAGTAATAAATATTTGTTGAATGATTGAATGTTTAATAATTAAAGAGATCCTCTCTCAGAAACACTCTTCTGTTAAGCTACTTTCAAAGAGGCTATACAAATGAGAAAGGTGTAGAAGGACATAAATTAAACTTTTTATTTATTCATTTTAATTCATGCCTTCCACAAATATTTATTAAGTGCCTTTTCTAGTCAATACCAGACACTGTACTAATTTCACTCATAGGGGTGTACTAGTTGTCTATTGCTATGTAAAAAATTAACCACAAGTTTGGCAAGTTAAAACAACAAACATTTATTTTCTCCCAGTTTCTGAGGGCCAGAAATCTGAGAATCTCGTAGCTGGGTGGTTTCAGTTCAGGGTCTCTCCAGAAGTTGCAGTCAAGCTGCCAGGTGAAGCTGAGGTCATCTCAAGAGTTGACTGTGGTAGAAGGACCTGGTTCCCAGCTCACTCTCACAGTTGGCAGGCCTCTGTTCCTTGTGGTGATTGGCAGAGACTTCAGTTTCTCACCATGTGGGCCTTTCTGTAAGGCTTCCCAGAGCCAAGGATCCAAGAGAGGAAGAAAGAGAAAGAGCATGCACCCACACCAGAGCCAGAATGGATGTTTTATTACCCAGCTTTTTATTACTCAGCCTCCAAAGTTGTACAATGTCACTTCTGGGACTCAGGCCCCACCTCTTGAAGTCGGGAGAATCAGGGAATTAGTGGATACAGTTTTAAAACTACCAAGAGGAAGCCTGGTCCAGTGACTCATGCCTATACTCCCAGTACTTTGGGAGGCCTAGGCAGGAGGATTGCTTGATGCTAACTGTTTGAGACCAATTTGGGCAACATAGTAAGACCTCATCTCTTAAAAATTTAAAAATGGCTGGGCACAGTGGCTCACGACTGTAATCCAGCACCTGAGGAGGCTTAGGTGGGTGGATCACCTGAGGCCAGGAGTTCAAGAACAGCTTGACCAACATGGAGAAACACCATCTCTATTAAAAATACAAAATTAGCCGGGCATGGTGGAGCATGCCTGTAATCCCAGCTACTCAGGAGGCTGAGACAGGAGAATTACTTGAACCCAAGAGGCAGAGGTTGCAGTGAGCTGAGATTGCACCATTGCACTGCATCATGGGCAACAAGAGCGAAACTCCATCTCAGAAAAAAAAAAAAAGTAAAAATTAGTTGGGCACACTGCATTGCCAAGACACTCCTAAGCCAAAAGAACAAAGCTGGAGGCATCACACTACCTGACTTCAAACTATACTGCAAGGCTACAGTAACCAAAACAGCATGGTACTGGTACCAAAACAGAGATACAGACCATTGGAACAGAACAGAGCCCTCAGAAATAATACCACACATCTACAACCATCTGATCTTTGACAAACCTGAGAGAAATAAGAAATGGGGAAAGGATTCCCTATTTAATAAATGGTGCTGGAAAAACTGGCTAGCCATATGTAGAAAACTGAAACTGGATCCCTTCCTTACACCTTATACAAAAATTAATTCAAGATGGATTAGAGACTTAAATGTTAGACCTAAAACCATAAAAACCCTAGAAGAAAACCTAGGCAATACCATTCAGGACATAGGCATGGGCAAGGACTTTATGACTAAAACACCAAAAGCAATAGCAACAAAAGCCAAAACTGACACATGGGAGCGAATTAAACTAAAGAGCTTCTGCACAGCAAAAGAAACTACCATCAGAGTGAACAGGCAACCTCCGAATGGGAGAAAATGTTTACAACCTACCCATCTGACAAAGGGCTAATATCCAGAATCTACGAAGAACTTAAACAAATTTACAAGAAAAAAATCAAACAATCCCAACAAAAAGTGGGCAAAGGATATGAACAGACACTTCTCAAAAGAAGACATTTATGCAGCCAACAGACACATGAAAAAATGCTCATCATCAATGACCATCAGAGAAATGCAAATCAAAACCACAATGAGATACCATCTCACACCAGTTAGAATGGCGATCATTGAAAAGTCACGAAATAGCAGGTACTGGAGAGGATATGGAGAAATAGGAATACTTTTACACTCTTGGTGGGACTGTAAGCTAGTTCGACCATTGTGGAAGACAGTGTGGCAATTCCTCAAGGATCTGGAACTAGAAAAACCATTTGACCCAGCCATCCCATTACTGAGTATATGCCCAAAGGATTATAAATCATGCTGCTATAAAGACACATGCACACATATGTTTATTGCAGCACTATTCACAATAGCAAAGACTTGGAACCAACCCAAATGGCCATCAATGACAGACTGGATTAAGAAAATGTGGCACATACACACCATGGAATACTATGCAGCCATAAAAAAGGATGAGTTCATGTCCTTTGTAGGGACATGGATGAAGCTGGAAACCATCATTCTGAGCAAACTATTGCAAGGACAGAAAACCAAACACTGCATGTTCTGTCTCATAAGTGAGAACTGAACAATGAGAACACTTGGACACAGAATGGGGAACATTACACACTGGGGCCTGTCATGGGGTGGGGGAAGTGGGGATGGACAGCATTAGGAGATATACCTAATGTAAATGATGAGTTAATGGATGCAGCACACCAACATGGCACATGTATACATATGTAACAAACTTGCACATTGTGCACATGTGCCCTAGAACTTAAAGTATAATAAAAAAATAAACAAAAAAAAAATTAGTCAGGCACAGTGGCATATGCCTGTAGTCCTAGCTACTTGGGAGGATCTCTTGAGCCCAGGACTTCCAGGTTGAAGTGAGCTATGATTGCACCACTGCACTCCAACCTGGGTGACACAGTGAGACTCTGTTTCCAAAAATTAATTATTAAAAAAAAAGCTATGGAGGGGAGGTTGATTAGAAGGGGAAACTGTTGAATTTTATTCATATACTTTTAATATCTTAACCAATTATAATTGTAACCTAATTTTCCATTAATAGACAATATATAGCTGTATACTTAGGATGAGAAAGGAGATAATTAGACATGGATCAGGGGTGGGGTTGATCTTCCTCTACTTTCTCACACTCTCCACAGAAGACCAAGAAAGCTTCCATCTCTCATGGAGATCTTTGTTATCTTTTGATAAAGGATGTTATTTTCCATTCCTATGTCAAGGTATTGCATAGACACAAAATTCCAGCAAAGTTGCATATCTTAGTAGTGCAGAGAGAGTGGAGGAAACTTAAGATGATACAGAAAAGGCCATCAAAATGATTATCAGGGAACCTAGAAACTGCCATATAAATGTATTTCCCAATGAATTTTAACATCCAAATTTATTTAACTTTTAGTGGTCTGACTATATTTTGACCTGCTGAACTGTTTCGCAGATTCAAATTTTCATCATTGTCCTTCACATCAAATAATGAATTCGGAAGCAGAATTTCCATCTGTCAGTTTAGAGAATGCAGCATCTCATCTCTGTATTGAAATCAAGTCCCTCTCACCTTTCAACAGCCAAAGAACCACTTCATCGTCAGCAATGTGGAAAGCTACAAATCAATTAAACTTACCTCGCGTTTATGAGTACCCATGAATTGCACTTACAATGGTTGTACAAAAGGGTATGGTAGTGCCGGGTTCTCAACAACGGCTCCCAAGTCAGGTAACAGCACATCTGGGGTCAGTGATACTTTCCCTATTTGTCCTGTCTGTGACTCAAGCAGAGTTCTTCAGTTTTTTTCCTGGGCTCACCGCCACATCAACATTGCAGTATTCCTTGTCGCCGTATTTAAATCTAAGAAGAAAACCGCATGCAGGTTTTTGAAGAGCCACATGTGGCTAAGAAAGCCTCAGGTTGGAATGCGGCCCTGTAATCCTCTCACAGGGGTGGAGAGGAAACAGCTCCAGAGAGGGTTCCAAATGCACACCAATGCCCCTTCGAGCTACATTTTGCATTTCGTTTTCTGCTTTAAAATCTCTATTGGCTTCACATCTGAGAAAGCTTAAGAACATAATTTATTCCATATAAGGTTCCCAGTAATTTATGCTCAGTAAATTGGCAACATAGGAAGAATTTTTTCATTGACTACCATGGAAGATTATTAAAGGCCATCTTGTGCAAGTAGACAGTTCAAGCAGCCATACGTCATACAAAAGGAAATTTCCTAGCATCCTGTGTTTTAAATGAAAATAATTTATATCTTTTGAATTTATAAATGTGTAATTTTAGTTTTTACACAATTGCCCATTCACACAAAATTCTTCTCTAGACAGTCCAACTCCAGGATATACTTCACCTTTTATAGTCCCTCTCCCTCAAAACCAGGTAAATCCAAGAAAACCTCAGGTCTATAATTCACTCTACTTCTGTAATTTTTTTTGCAGTTTTAGATTTATGCCAAGATAATAGCTCACTGTCCTAAAATGCTGGTTTTCTGGACAGGTAAATATTAACTCTTTGTTCTCAGCTTTGTCTTTCTCAGCAAATGATAAACTAGTACCAGCTCTTCCATTGTTTTGTTCCTTGATGAAAAATGGATTGAATTTGTGTGCACAAGGCCAGGTTCTATGGTTGTAAAGTAGGAACTGTGTTCCATTATTCAGGCACAAACTCACAAACATTTAGATATTTATAGTTTTTATTCCAATGGTTAATCAATGTTTCATTTTCCTCTCTTTTTGCTTTTGTATCCAATAAATACAGCTATGGGTTGAAGGATGTTATTTGTAACTATTCCATAATGAAGTAATAGAACTTCTGTCCTTATTATTTCTTAGAAATGTTTGCATTGAGAGTATTAAATTGATGTATTTGTTGTAATAATTATTTAGATTCCTAGATATAGGCATCTGTGCATGAACATAATTCTCCAAAGTGGCAAAGGGTACTATATTGGTTTCATATTAGAATCATGAAAGTGAAGTTGTCAGCCAGGCACAGTGGCTTATGCCTGTAATCCCAACATTTTAGGAGGCCAAGGCAGGAGGACTGAGCATGAAGTTTGAGACCAAACTGGACAACACAGTGAGACCCCATCTCAACAAAAAATAAAAAATTAACTGGGTCTGGTGACAAGTACCTATAGTTACAGCTACTCGAGAGGCTGAGCTGGGGGGATCACTTGGGCCCAGGAGGTCAAGGGTGCAGTGAGCTATAATTATGCCACTGCATTCCAGTCTGGGCAATGGAGCAAGGCCCTGTGTTAAAAAAAAAAAAAGAAAAAAAAGAAAAGAAAAAAAGAGGAGGGAAAGAAGGAAGGAAGGAAGGAAGGAAGGAAAGAAAGAAAGAAAGAAAGAAAGAAAGAAAGAAAGAAAGAAAGAAAGAGAGAGAGAGAGAGAAAAGTTAGTCATTTTTTAAAAGAAATTTTAGACATGGGGTCTCACTATGTTGCCCAGGCTGGACTTGAACTAATGAGTTCAAATGATCCTCCCACCTCAGCCTCCTGAGTAACTGGGACTACAGGAGAATGCCATGGTACCCAGGTAATCTATTTTTCATAGACTTGCAACCTAGTGCAGGAGGATTGCCAATTGACTGAAAGCTAGATTTCCCATATTTGGCATTTTTGTCATTCAATCTCATCTGAATCTCTTACAACAGGCTTTCAGGAGTCATATTTTAGTATTGATAATAAGAGAGTTTGATTCTGTCCTTGTCACTGGAGTCCCATAACCCTCAAAATTTGGCCTGTCTTTGAGTCATCTGTTGGTAACTGGATGATATTTGTACAGTACCTCCCCTGTCTGGATACAAAGACACAAGCCAGTATCTCTGAAATGATTAGCAAGGCTAACATGGTCTTTTCAACTCAAAGCAAACAAAAGCTATAAATTTCTTTACTGAAAATGTTTACTGCTCCCTAGAGCTATGAACAGCAGTGAACATAATGCTCAAAAATGTATTCTATTTCACTTGTGAAGTCCTCTGCAATTTGAATTTTTAAAAGAGAAATCACAAGAGAGACAAAGTGGTGAGGAGAATTTTTTTTTAATGAAGAATATATTTAGAAAAGAAGAATGAGAAGATGTCTTGCCACTGAGCCAGTGGGAATTTGAAATTACTCCAAGCCAGGGAGCCAATAGAGTGTCTAAAACATAAGGTAGAATTCAGAGGGAGCTGATCGTGTTTTGATCTCATGTAATGCTTTTCTTCACGCTTGTTTCCAAGATCTAATTGGTGGCTACCTCGGAAAATGTTAACTAAGGCAGAGCCATGGTGAAAAGAAGAGAATCAGAACTTCTTGGGTGAATTCCTCTACCTACGTAGATCTTGACCTTTCCCTGGGACGGTAACCATAAGATCCTAACTATTAAGAACCCAGGTTGGCAGGGCACACTGGCTCACGCCTATAATCCCAGCACTTTGGGAGGCTGAGGAAGGAGGATCACAAGGTCAAGAGATAAAGACCATCCTGGCCAACATGGTGAAACCCCGTCTGTACTAAAAATACAAAAATTAGCTGGGCATGGTGATGCGTGCCTGTAGTCCCAGCTACTCGGGAGGCTGAGGCAAGAGAATCACTGGAACCCGGGAGGCAGAGGTTGCAGTGAGCTGAGATCACACCACTGCACTACAGCCTGGTGACTCCATCTCAAAAAAAAAAGGAGAACCCAAGTCATTGCCATTCCCTAAGTTTTCTAAACTTTATATGGAAGCCATGGGGCAAAGAAAGAGTGCAGTGGTGAAATCATATGTCACTGCAGCCTGCAAATCCCCACAACTCCCCAGGCTCGGGTGATTCTCTCACCTCAGCCACCCGAGTATCTGGGACTACACATGCATGCCACCATGTTAATTTTTGTATTTTTTGTAGAGGTGGCGTTTCATCATGTTGCCCAGGCTGATCTTCAACTCCCGGGCTCAAGCAATCCTCCCACCTTGGCCTCCCAAAGTGTTGGGATTACAGGCATGAGCCACCTTGCCCAGCCAGATACTGTCTTCTTAACCCACTCTTTAGTCCAACTAAGAAAACATCTTGACTAATGCTCAGACTATACATAAAATGACAAATAACAACTACGAGAAAACATACACATAAAGATTATGTTGCGTTTCAGTCCTGTAAGATTCTATCATGGCTCTGAATGGTAGAACAACCAATATAAAGAGCATGATTGAGACTTTACTATCCCTCTGAGAAGTGACTAAAGCAACAAATGTGATGGTATTGATTTAAAGCCTCTTGGCCAGTGATTTTCACATTGGGTGCTCTTGAGTTTCTTGGAGGTGACTGTCCAAGGTCAATGGAGAGTACACAGTTTAACATCTGCATTCAGGCCCTTCAGTTCTGCCAACCTGGTCCCGCCATAAATAATAGCCAGTTGGACAATGGCTACTTTATGCAATCCCAATTAAAAACCCCAAATGCAAACATAAAAAGATGTTCAGATGCTCCAGCTATCATTAACACAAATTAAAAAACAATATTCTTAAACTTGCATCATGAATTCATTCACAATGTACGGAGCTCTAATGTGACTGGCCCTATTCCAGGGGCTGGGAACATGAGTGAATCAGCCATACACCCAGCCTCCAAGGAGCTTCCAGCCCGGAGGGACAGAGAGACACATAGGGAACTAACCAAAACAGCATGTTTCATCTGTTCTGATAGGCACAAGCACTGAGGAGGAAGCCAAAGGTACCAATACTTCTGGCATTTGTGCAAAGTTAGGAATACATTCTGGCAGGATTTTTTTTTTTTTTTTTTTTTTTTTGCCGTAGTTCTCCATGTACTAATCTCCTCTGATATTTTCACAACCTCGTCTACTTTTATGTGTCCTTCTCTCTGCCTTAAGCCTTCAGGTAAATGTCCAGGACACAAAGAGCTGAATTTACTCACTCTAAATGGAAATCTAAATTTGTCAAAAAGAAACTCTATCTTCTTGGAAACCATTTCAAATCTACTCCTGTCTTTATTCCCCATAAAATTTGACAGAGATAAGACACACCCTAATGAAGAACTATGTGTCAGAACTGACAGGATGGCTCTCACGCCTGTAATCCCAACACTTTGGGAGGCCTAGGTGGGAGGATCACTTGAGGCCAGGAGTTCAAGACCAGTCTGGGCGACATAGTAAGACCTGGTCTCTAACAACAACAACAACAAAATTAAATTAGCCAGGCATGATGGTGCGTGCCTGTAGTCCCATCTACTGGGGAAGCTAAGGCAGTCCAGGGATCTCTTGAGCCCAGGGGTTTCAGACTACAGTGAGCTATGATCATGCCACTGCACTCCATCCTGAGCAACAGAGTGAGAAACTGTGGTGGTGGCGGGGGTGGGAGGGAACCTATAAAGAACAATGTGAGAAACCTATAGCTTATTTGCACAAATGCCAACATCTTTGATTGTCCCCCCCCAAGAGAAATAAGAACATGGTCTGGGCTGGGCGTGGTGGCTCACTCCTGTTATCCCAGTACTTTGGGAGACCGAGGCTGGTGGATCACCTGAGGTCAGGAGTCAAGACCAGGCTGGCCAACATGGTGAAATCCCGTCTCTACGAAAAATACAAAAATTAGCTGGGCATGGTGGCAGGCGCCTATAATTCCAGCTACATAAGAGGCTGAAACAGGAGAACTGCTTGAACCCGGGAGGCGGAGGTTGCAGTGAGCCAAGATCGCGCCACTGCACTCCAGCCTGGGCAACAAAGAGTGAAACTCCATCTCAAAACAAAAAACAAAAAACAAAAAACAAAACAAAACAAAACAAAAAAGAACGTGGTCTGATCTCCTCCACCTTTGCTTTGTGCTTCCCTCCAGTGGGATTGCCATCTGTCTCTTATCTCATCCTTGCTCTG